AACTTATTTCAGAATTCCGGCAGCTATTGCATGAGATGATGAATCTACTGTAGGTACTGCTCAGATATCAGAATCATATTTAAAATATGTCACCTATATTACGAAATTAAAATCCGAAAAAAGAACAGCAAAGATGCAACGAATATATCTATACTGTTGCTTAGGATTATCAGAAAGTAGTTCTAATTTGCTTGTATAACGCACCAGCAGTTTTTGTTCGAGTGCCCTTGAAATAAGTGCTATGGAACTTCACCAGTAAACTGGCTATTTTCCAGAGTGTATTTTATAACCTGCCTCTACTTGGCATTCAATGGTAGGGACCAGCGACATGGTCTCTCGCTTGTGAATCCTGACACAATCCAAAGACACATGGCTCATCAATGCCGGAGCCGTGGTCGCGATAATTTACATCGTTTTCTTCGGCAGGTGCAGCTCCACCTAAAAGGTAGTCACGATTGTAATTACAGCGCCCTGCAAATCTAGCGTCGTTCGTTTTTATTGGGATTTTTTCATATTCCATTTGATAATCGGCTTTTAACGCAAAACGTTAATTGATAATACAGGTTAGGGAAATCTACAGATATAAATCAACAACATCTCTGAAGACAATAAAATGAAATTGCATATCGCAGTTATTAAAGTATATTTCGTTGCGTATGCTGATTCCCCACCCACAAAACCCTATAAACACATGCTGGGAGTAGGGATTAATGAGTGGGACTACATAAGCTACTTTTGCAGTAAAGTGAAAATAATAAAACTAAAAGGAACCACAGAACTAGGAGCTAGGGGTATCTAACGTGGGCGACCGACTTAGTTTTTACAGCGGAGCTGCTCTTGCTGATCGTTCTTGATGATCACACAGGCTGGCAACACTTGTGCACCCCCATACCGACACACTCTGTCCATGGACCGTCCTGCTCTTGAACATCACCCTTTCTCCACTAGGAAACTGTATTGACGCAACTCCGGGGACAACGTTTAACCTCTCATGCTACGTAGCTTGTGCGCATGCACCATTATCTGCTTACCTCAGTCCGGTCTGGCCAATCACCTTCAAGACTGACTCACACCGAACGTCACGTTGACGACTTTGGACGCCGCCCCTCTCAGGTGCGGACGCAGGTTCCCCCGACGGTCAATCTCTTCTAACCTGCTTTCCACTAGCGCTGTACAGAATATACTATTCCTTCCACCTGGCGTCCCACTACTTCTCTTCCAACACGGAGCAAACCATCGCACATGCAGCAAGAAACTTCCTCTACTGAGAGGCCGTGTTGGAGGAGATATTGCTACCCCACTTCTTCACCACTCACCACTTCCATGCAAAACAGTCCTAATTTTTAAGAGTAACGACAAATTAAGAATGCATAAATAACGCTATAGTAGTATGCAGACTACGGTAGACGTGTTTTGCATTTCCATGGAGAGCCAGTCTTACCTGCTTGTCCGCATTCATCCAAACCAGAAAGCGGTAACTGATGCAGGCGCAGAGAAAGGTGAAAAAGAGAAGTCCTGTCACAGACAAAAATCCCGATCTGTCACTAGCCGGCTTTTCTGTGGTGATCGAATAAGCCTCGGTAAAGCTGACCGGGAAAATGGGTTCCAGTATAGCTCCAAAGGTGGTGAAGTGGTTGCATTCACAGACAACTGCCAAAGCCGTGGTTTCACGGGAAACCTACAAATAAATATTAAAAGGGTTGCAGCGTCTAAACGGTGTTTGTAATCGGAACACTATGAATAATCAGGCCAAATCCCAAGTCAATGCAAGCTATAGTCTCGATGGCCTCTGCAATACTTTTACACCAAAAAAGCGTGATATTTGAACCCTTATCAGGCGGCCTTCTAGATAATTTTCTTCCCACTGATCTAGGGGTCTTGTAGTGGGTCATGCCTGGCTCACTAGCTCTCATCAAAGTGCAGTTTCCCGAAGGCTCACCGACGCAGTTTTCGACGTCTCGATCAGCCAATCATAGTTCCCGCATCTACGCGGTTTGAGCTAGTGACGAATAGCGAGCTTGCACGCGTTCCCGACGCAAGCTGCCTCTTTGCCCAA